GCCGCCGCCGCCGCCGCCGCTGCCCGCCGCCGCCACCGCCGCGCCGCCGCCGCCGCCGTCGCCGCCGTTGCCGCCGCGCGGCCGCCGCCGCCGCCCGCCGCCGCCGCCGCTTCCGCTGCCAAATCGCCGCCGCCGCAGCCGATGCCGACGCAGCCGCACCACCGCCACCGCCACCGCCCGCCGCCGCCGCCACCGCCGCCGCCGCCGCCGCCCGCCGCCGCCGCCGCCGCAGCCGCCGCCCGCCGCCGCCGCCCCCCGCCGCCGCCGCCGCCGCCGCCACCGCCGCCGCCGCGGCCGCCGACGCCGCAGCCGCCGCAGCCGCCGCAGCCGCCGCCGCCGCGGCCGCCGCCAAGTGTATTGTGTATTTCCCAACCCTCCTGCGTTGGGTTCTCGTTTTGAATAGAGCACTGCTTGCGCGTCTCTTTCCTCCCTTCCCGCCCCTCTCTTCCCCCTTGCCTTTCGCCTCGCTCGTCGCTGCGTGCCAGCTGGGGGGCTGCGATCTGTGAAACTGTCGCCACTTTCGAGGCCTGCTGGGGTGCCCAGCACAGTGGGTGTACCCACCGCAGATTCAAATGGGACCTCGCCACCCCTGGGGGGCTGCGATCTGTGGAACTGTCGCCACTTTCGAGGCCTGCTGGGGGGGCCAGCACAGTGGGCACTCACCGCAGACTCAAATGGGACCTCGCCATCCCTGGGGGGCTGCGATCTGTGAAACTGTCGCCACGTTCGAGGCCTGCTGAGGGTCCCAGCACAGTGAGTACTCACCGCGGATTCAAATTGGACCTCGCCATCCTTGGGGGGCTGCGATCTGTGAAACTGTCGCCACTTTCGAGGCCTGCTGAAGGCCCAGCACAGTGGGCACTCACCGCAGACTCACATGGGACCTCGCCATCCCTGGGGGGCTGCGATTTGTGAAACTGTCGCCACTTTCGAGGCCTGCTGAGGGGCACAGCACAGTGGGTAGTCACCGCAGACCCAAATTGGACCTCGCCATCCCTGGGGGGCTGCGATCTGTGAAACTGTCGCCACTTTCGAGGGCTGCTGAGGGGCCCAGCGCAGTGGGTACTCACCGCATATTCAAATGTGACCTCGCCATCCCTGGGGGGCTGCGATTTGTGAAACTGTCGCCACTTTCGAGGGCTGTTGAGGGGCCCAGCACAGTGGGCACTCACCGCAGATTCAAATAGGACCTCGCCACCCTGGGGGCTGCGATCTGTGAAACTGTCGCCACTTTCGAGGGCTGCTGAGGGCCCAGCACAGTGGGTACCCACACGCAGATTCAAATGGGACCTCGCCATCCCTGGGGGGCTGCGATCTGTGAAACTGTCGCCACTTTCGAGGGCTGCTGAGGGGCCCAGCACAGTGGGTACTCACCGCAGACTCAGATTCGACCTCGCCATCCATGGGGGGCTGCGATCTGTGAAACTGTCGCCACTTTCGAGGGCTGCTGAGAGGCACAGGCTAGTGGGCACTCACCGCGGATTCAAATTGGACCTCGCCATCCCTGGGGGGCTGCGATCTGTGAAACTGTCGCCACTCTCGAGGCCTGCTGGGGGGGCCAGCACAGTGGGTACTCACCGCAAACTCAAATGTGACCTCGCCATCCCTGGGGGGCTGCGATTTGTGAAACTGTCGCCACTTTCGAGGGCTCCTGAGGGCCCCAGCACAGTGGGTATTCACCGCAGACTCAAATTTGACCTCGCCATCCCTGGGGGGCTGCGATCTGTGAAACTGTCGCCACTTTCGAGGGCTGCTGAGGGGCCCAGCACAGTGGGTACCCACACGCAGATTCAAATGGGACCTCGACATCCCTGGGGGGGCTGCGATCTGCGAAACTGTCGCCACTTTCGAGGCCTGCTGGGGGCCCCAGCAGTGACGCCACACGCAGATTCAAATTAGACCTCGCCATCCCTGGGGGGCTGTGATCTGTGAAACTGTCGCCACTTTCGAGGCCTGCTTGCGGGGCCCAGCACAGTGACGCCTCCCAAGTAGCTTACACATCAAGTTGATTGTCCATACAAGTTTCGGCCAACTCCTCGTTTCCATTGATACACATGTGTTGGGTACGTCACATGGTATTTTTTAGATGGATGGTGGGGGAGGCCGCATCGGGTTGGCTGCGTTGGCTCCGAATTTGGAGGCAGAGTGTGTTTCACATTGTTGTTTTACAAGGGATGGTGGGGGGGGGGCCCTCATGGTTCCTGGTTGGCTACCAGTCGCTCGGGGGAGGGGGTGTTTATTAACAGGGAACAGTGATAAACCTTTCCCCGAAGGGGAAGTGGGAGGGGTGGACGAGGAAACGCCTTAGACCACCTACGCCCAGAGGGCTGGTAGGATTCTAGACGGGGCCACAACCAGCCTGCGCGCGGAATTGCCCGCGCTGGACAGGCCTCTCCGCGGGGGCGATGGCCCTTGGGCGGAACCTTGGGGCTCGGAGGCTGAAGTGGCCCTCGCCTGGGGCGAGTCCCCGTTGATTGCGGAATTCTTCAGAACCCTCGCGCCAGAGGCGTTGTCAGCCACATTCCTGGCAGCGCCATCCAGATGCTGGAGCCCCGGGTTTGCCCTGCATTGCCAGGCCTCGCGGCCGGGGCCCGAAGGGTTGGCGAGGACGCAACGAGGGAGACGATAGGGGGCATCGCCTGTGAGCTCGCCGTCAAAGGGGGCGGGGCCGAGGCGCCCCTCGACTTCGCGGCAGAAGCAGCGCCGCAACCGCGGCAGCTCGGGGGTGCCCTCGCCCAGCCGAGCGCGGGGGAGGGGTGGGCCATCGCAATAGTCGAGCTCCTCGCGATCGCGGCGCTGGCCACTATGCGGGGCGAAGGCTCGGGGGGGGGGGGCAGCTCGTTTGCGTCGCGTCGGTCAACGCGCGCGTGAAGTCGTGGTTGAGCCATCGTAGGACACGGAACTCACTGGTGCGCCAGGGCTGGTCAGGGGTTCGAGGCGTGGCACGGGTTCGCGGTGGCCAGCGTCTACATCCGCACGTGCCGCGACGAGGCGGCCGACTGAATCACAAACAAAAAACCTTGCTGGCGGCGCGCGACGAGCTGGGGCGCCGGCATTGGCGGCGCCCAGACCCACTTGAGGCCTGGGGGGCGCCCTTGGACAAAGCGAATGAGGCTGCTGCGGCTTCCCGAGAAGTACGGGGCGCTGCGGCGCGGGACCACAGCGCCACGGCCCCCCCTCGCTCGCGGGGCAGACTTGCGTGGAGGTAGCGAGCCCCCCATCCACGCGCATGGCAGGGTCTGGGAGGAGCTAGGGCCCCCCCCCCCCACGCGCCCGACTCTGGACGCGTCGACAGGGCGATGGGCAGCCTGTCGTTGGACCTTGCTGACCACCGTCGGCGCCCAGTCGTGGACTTGCCAGATCAGCTGGAGCAAGGGCGTCTGACCCAATGCCTCGCCCGACTCGGGTACTGCTGCACGCCTTCTGAGGCAATTTGCGCGCGCCCCGGCGACGCGACCTCGCGGGCGCGCAACATCGGCCTCAGCTGTGCGGGCAAAGCAGGCGTTGGCCTGGCGAGCACGGCGAGGAGTGGGGCACGTCACGTCCGCGGATCGATCGGGGCCAAGCACTTGATCGACTAAGCGGACTGCCCTACCGGCGCGGCGCGTTGTCCGCGGCAAGCACCTGGAGGACCTAGAGCGCTGCTGCTGCGCGTCGCTTGCTGCCGCGGGGGGCGGGTCGGGGCGCTCGCCGCGCTCGAGGTCTGTCGCGCCCGAGGCGGCGCGACCGAGGACTGGGCGGCGCGCTGGGGCAAGGGCTACGCGGTGGACGCAAAGCTTCGCGGCGCCGCCAGGTCGATGCCGACCGAGGCGGCGCGCGCCCTCCTCCAGACGGCGACGAAGGCCCTGAGGGCGGGCCCTTCGCTGCGCGCGGGGCGACGCGAAGTCCTGGCCGAGGGGGGCCGCCTGGATGGCCGCCATCCGCTGGGCGCGGGCGTGGGCGACCCCCAGGGGGGATCCCCTGCCGCTGCTCGCGGGCGCACGCAACGGCCAGGCCGGGGCGCTGCTGGGCGAGATCCACAGGGGGCGGAGGAAGAGAGCCCCGTGTCCTATTCCAGCACATCGCGGACGACTTGACGCAGGGGCCCAGCGCGCCCCCCGACCCCGCCGCGGCCCATCTGGCCCAGGGCCCGAGCCCGAGGCCTCCGCGCCAGGGGCGCCGCTGCAGGGCAAGGCCACGGCGAGCAAGAACCGGGGGGCGAGGCCCGGCAGACGCTGGCGGGGGGGCTCGGCGCGCCCAGCGCCCTCGGCGCCGCCCGCGCCGAGTTCGCAGCAGCCGAGCGCCCGGAGATGGGGCGCGCCCGCTACAGCGTTGACGAGGCGGACAAAAGCACGCAGCGCCGATGCAAAAGTTGCCCGAAGGAGCGCGCGCAGGATACGATGGGGGCAGGAAGCAGCGGTTCGCTTCCCGAGCGGCCAACAAGCGCCGTCCTGGCTGGATTGTCGGGACAGGGAATAACGTAACATCTACGAAGATTACGCAATGGCGTTCGTCATCGTCTATGCCGGAGTGCTGCGCCAAATGGTCGGCGCCATAAATTGAAAGCTCTTCGCCATGCGCAGCGCGCACTTCGTCGCGGGGCGCGCCGATTCGCTGATCCATAGGCTCGCCTCTGGCCCACCCTGGCTGGCCCTCGACGGTGGCAGGGCCTGGCCGGAATCGCCCTGCAACCCCTCGGGCGCACCGCTGGGCCCGAGGCCCCCTGAACGACCGGGCCGCCCTGGGCGAGCCGGACCTCTCGGCCCCCCCGCCAGCGATCGCGTCGACATTCTTGTCTATGTTTGTTGAGGGCCTCGGGGCACTGAGCGCGGCAAGGGCGAGGCTGAATCGCGGCCCGAGAGGGCCTGGGCCGCGGCGCGGAGGTGCGCGACGGGGACACCCTGCCAACCCGCAAGGCGGCGGAGGAGGCGGAGGAGGAGGGGGCGGAGGAGGAGGTCAGGAGGTCAGGAGCCTGAGGGCGCCGTCTGACAGCTGACTGACAAACAGCGCCTCGGGGGACTTCAGATGATGAGGTCGATGGCCAGGCCGAACGACACGACGACCGCGTCACCGCTTGAGCCGCGGCACCAACCGACCTGCGCGAGGTGGACCGCGCCGCTGCCGTGGAGGCCGCAGCCTAGCCTCCCTCCACGCCGCGGCTGGGGGATGCGGCCTGCGGCCAGCGCAACGTGCCGCCGCCGCCGCTGGGCGCGCAGAGGGACAGCGACAGGGCGCGCTCAGGCAACGCCTTCGCCCGCATCGCTGCCCTCGCCGCCGCGGTGGTCTTGCGACGCCGCCTGCGCGCCGAGGCGGCCCTGGCCCTCGCGAAGCGCCGCCGCCGCCCCAGGCCGCGGCCAGCGGCGCGCCGCCCGAGCCCAGCCCTGCGCGGGCGGCAGGCCCGCAGGCGCCGCCAGCCAGCTGCGGAGGCAGTGCACCTCGTACCTCCGCATGCCGTCGGTGACGCACCGCTGGCTCCTCAGCGTGAGGCCCGAGCGATACCTGGCGTAGGCGCCGCGCAGCCTCGCTCCGCGACTCCAAGCGCGGCGGCACCGCGCCTCCGCCAGTTGCCGAGCCGTGCTACCCATCGCCCTGAGGAAACGCCGCCACCTGGGCTGGGCGAGGACCGCCTCCGCGTACGGGACGCAGTGGTCGAGCCAGTCGCTGGCCGCACCGTCGGCGTCGAGTAGCGGCTCGATTCACCACCGCCCCCAGCGGTCCAGCCTGCGTTCCAAGGCCAGCGGCCGCGGCGGCCGCTGCGGCAGGACCGCCCTGGGCGGCGGCCGCGCCACGCGGATGCCGTTCCGCCGCAGCCGCGCGGCAAAGCCCGCAGGCGCCGCCCTGGGGGCCGCCCCAGCCCCGCCGCAGAGCCGCTCGGCCCGCGCATGGAGCCGCCGCAGCAGTGCCAGCCCCCGCACTGCCCATGACCCGGCGCGATCACCAACAGCGCACCCCGTGTCGGCCAACGCCTCCACGACCTGCGCCTTGGGAACCCTGCCAGCCCCACCAGCGGCAACGCACGCCGGGCCAGCCTCGCGCGTCGCCACGCGCTCCAGCCGCTCCTGCCAGGACGGCGCTGGCGCCGCACAAACGCTGCGGCGCGCCACGACCTCCGCAAGCAGGCGGCTGGCCTCCGTGCGCCCGCCTCTCGGCAGTTCAGGAGCCCCGCGTGTCGCGGTCCCCTGCGCTTCCGCCAGCGGGGCCTCCTCCGTGCCCCCCCGCCACACGGCGCTGCGGGCGACCCGCGCGTCGCGGCCCCCTGCGCGTCCGCCAGCGGGGCCACCGCAGAGCCCAGGGCCGCGACCGCCTCGCCGGTGCTTTCCTCGGAGCTGTCGTCGACCGAACTGCGCTCGTCGTGCACCAGAGTGCCCGTAGCCCATGACCTGCCCGTCTTGGGGCCCAGACCACGCAGCAACCTGTCCCTCCTGGCCACCAGGTTGCTGACGTAGGTGCGCTGGTGGTGCCCCTTGTCGGTGGGCGGCCCGCAGCACGCCTTCTGCAGCCCCCTCGCCGCTCGGGTCTGCATCCACGCGACGCAGACCTCGCAGAAGATGGCGGGCGCCGCGCGCCGCAGCCGATGCCCGAGGCGCAGCACCACGCCACGGCCGTCACCCTCGTGCAAGAAAGGGTTCGGCCTCGGCGCCAGCTTGCAGGGCCTGCCACCGTCGCACGGCTGCAGCGCCTCGGCCCCCAGGCCTTCAGCGCCGCCCATGCAGTGTGGCCCCGCGCCGAAATGTACCACCTCAGCCGCCGCCTTGAGGCGTGCCAGCGGCGCCGGCAAACAGCTCGACTTGACGTACTGCTGCACCGCCGCGCCTGCCTCAGCACGGGGTCGGCGCCCGCGCTCGGTGCACAACATCCCGCGCTTGACCTGCACGCGCGCCAGGGAGCGCTCCACCGCCGTCAGCTTCGGCACGGGCGGCGGCGGCGCCGCGGGTACGTAGCGCGCCTCGGGGGGCGAGTCCCCGGTTGCCAGGCAGCGCTGCATAGCCCATCCGATGCAGTCCGCCACCTGCTTGAAGTATTGCACCTCGATGGCGTAGAACTCCGTGTATACCTGGGGCACCGCGTGCTGCAATGCCCCCTGCTTGGCGAACCAGTCCGCCCACAGGTTGCCCGCGCGCAGCACTGGGTGAAGCCCCGCCGCCAGGTACCCGTCGACGTCCTGATGCGCGGGGGCCCAAAACACCAAGGGGTGGCATGGCTGCTGCCGCAGGAGTCTCCACACCGGGGCGTGCACCGCCTTGACTCGCTCCAGCTCTGGCCCCCAGCTGCTAGCCTCCTGGGCCAGCGCCAGCAGGTCGGTGGCCACGAATCGCGCCTGCTGCCCCAGGAGCTCGGTGACCTGCAGGAGCGCATGCCGCTCGGCACGGCCCACCGTCTGCAGGCGGCCAGGAAGGGCCCCGAAGGCCGCGCGAACGGGAACCCCGTTGGAGCCCAGCGACCGCCCGCAGCGTCTCAGCTCGGGCATGCTGCTCGCAAAGCCCGAGCCATCGGTGAACGCAATGTCCCCGCGCTGCTCGTCACTCCTGCCGCTCCAGCCACCCCCGAGCCGGACCTCCGCCTCGTCGGCCGCAGGCAGCATGCGCGGCGGCGTCACGGGGAGCCCGGCCTCGTGCGCGAACCCGCTGAAGTCCGCGACCCCCGCGCCGCCTGCCTGCAGGCCCTTGTCACGCATGGTAGTCCATGTTTGCTGCAGTCGATCAGGGAAGACGTCCTGCTCGACCGACGACCGAGTCGCAACAAAACGTGCCGTGCCAAGCTCGCTGCCACCAGGGGGGCCAGACTGGCGTGCGCGCAGCAGGGCCTCGCAGCCGCGCAGCCTGTGACCAGGGGTGTCTTCCTCCCCTCCGCACGCCAGACAGCTGCCGTCGGGAGCGACCCCGACGTCTAGCTGCCCCTGCCTGGTCCACGGCGCACCTGCCCAGTGGATCCCGAGGCCGGTGGCAGCAGGCCCTTCGGCAACAGCGGCACCCTTGCCGCCCGCGCAGAGCCTCAGGACCCGCATCCAGATCGGCACAGTGGGCTGCCCGCCGCCGAAGTGGCTCAGGATCTGTCGCCCTTGCCAGCGGCTGACCCCCTCGACGTGGAAAGCCTTGAGGTCCGACGGCGAGGTGGCGAGCAGGTAGATATGCTGCTCCTCCTCAGTGACCAACACCAGACTGGACCACATGCACCAGCCGATCCTCCCTCCAGAGCGTGAGCATCGTCGAGGCGATCGGGCTGCCCGCCAGCCCCCACGTCGGCTTCTCGACCAGCCGCTGCGTGATGGAGGCCCACGCTCGCTGAAGCCTGCCCAACGATGTCCTCTGCTCCCAGGCCCAGCTGGAGTACCTGACCACGAGCGCCACAGTCGCCTCGTCGCAGATTGGATCAAACCTCGCGCTGCGCTGCGTGGCCAGGTAGATCGTCGCTCCCGGCGGACCTGGCCGCGCACCCGCCAACCGGCTGGCCTCAGCCCGCAGCCGCTGCAGCTCGTCGTCGGAGATGCCCGCGACGCCCGCGCCGTGGCCTGCGCTAGGGAGCAGCCCCGTGCGCCACAGCACGGTGACCTTGCGGCCAGCAGCACGCTTCAGCGCCGCCAGGCGCCCTCGCCGCCGCGCCGGCGCCTTCAGCCGCAGCTTGGTCCGCCGTCGCTGGATCCTGCCTCCTCCAAGGTCATGCCCTAGATTGCGAGCCCAGTGTAGCAGCTGCAGGCCGCGGGATCCCGCATGCTTCCTGCATTCTGCGGCTAGGCCCTTGGACGAGGTCACGTAGCCAGACTTGGCGGGGTACACGATGATGCCCAGTTGCTTGGCCTCCTCGCGGAAGCGCGTGACCGCGGCCCACAAGACGCTGACGTTGCTGCCCGCGGTCCTGATCCATTGAAGGATGACGTCGTCCACGAGGGCCCTGGGAGTGACGCCTATGCAGCGCACCCGCTCCAGCACGCGGTACATCTGCACCGACGCGAGCGCGCACGCGTGCGTGCATCCAGCCAGCACCCCTTAGGATTGGCAGGACACAACCTCGTAGGACACCGAGCCGAACGCTTGCAGCCGCCTGGGCTGCCTGTACAGCTCCACCACAAGCCAGACCAGCGGCAGCGGCATCTTGAGCAGCCGCGCCTCCTGGATGAGGGCCTCGGGGGTCACCGTCTCAAAGAACTTCCGGGCGTCCAGGAGCACGGTGAACACCTGCTCCTCCAACGCGACCGCCACCTCGGTCTCGAGGTTCAGGTCGAACGCTGCATCAGACGACGACCTGCCCGCGCCGAGCCCCCAGATGTCGACGCCGGGGTGCTGCGTGAGCCAGCCCATGGAGATGTCCGCCCGCGCCCGCGACCACATGCGCACCATAGAATGCATGAGCGCGATGCGGCGGCATCCTCCAGAGGGCTTGGGCAGCCGACGCACGGCGTGCCCCAGGCGGCCCTCAGGCCACGTGCCCAATTTCTCCATGCGCATGAAGAGCTGCGCGCAAACATACATGCCTTCCACGGACAGGAACGACAGGGCACGCATGCCTATCTTGGCAGGCCCCATCGCCGTGCCCGCGGGGAATGAGAGCACAGCCCTCTTCATCTTGTCGACGGTGAGTTCGGGCAGCGCTTCCCACTCCTCAATGTCCGCAGGCCTGCGCGCCTGCTGCAGCCCATGGCACCGCCACACCTTTGCCCACGGCTGCATCTCCCGATCGCGCGCCAGGTGCGGGCTCGCGTCCTGCTGCTGGCCATGCCAGGCCGTGATCACCTCCTGCAAGTCCCGGACCTTGGAGCACCGATGGGCGCGGCCAGCGCCGTGGGAGAAGAACTCGCTGGCCCAATTGACCCACTCCTTCTGCTGCGCCGCAAGGGCCGCTTCATACTGACCGTTTGCGTACTCCACGACCCTCGACGCCTGGCCCGCGAAGTCGGCCTGCGCGAACATCAGCATCCGCTGGCGAGGAAGTCCTGCTCTCAGAGCGGCAGCAGCGCCAGCGTGCCGCGGCCGGCGATGATCTTGTGGAGGCACGCCGCCTCCAGCAGGAAAACCGCCAGCTTGTCAAACTGGGCGTCGAACAGCGGGCAGAGGAGGCCGGCGCCGTGGAGTTGGCGGGCCGCTTTGGCGACGTACGCCCCGACACCCATCAGGTGCCGAGCCCGCCTCGACGCCACGCGGCACGCCACGGCCCGGCGACCAAGCGCGGTCCTGCGTCGAGGGGGTCGCCATTTGACAGCGACGAGAGTCGTCTGTAGAGCGCCAGACCTGCCGACGTACTTGGTCCTGTCGTGCCCGGCGACGTCGCAGCGGTCCAGAAGCTCCTGCTCGGCCGTAGCCACCATAGCGCCCCATGCCTCGGGGAGGTGTTCTCGGCTGACGGCTGCGCGCACCGTGGCCAGGGGCTTGCGCCAGTCGTCGACGCCGCGGCTGCAGCCCACGGGCGGCGCAGGGCCGATCGGTCGCGGGCCCCTCACCACCCGTACCTGCAACGGAAGGTCCTGCGTGTGCATCTCCATTGCGACAGACAGGCGCGGTTGCGGCGTGCCGTATTCGTCGGCCTGCGGCCTGCCAAGCCTCGGAGCGAGGCTGGTTGCGCAGGGGAAGTAGTCCAGCGTCGACCAGGCCCCAGCACGCGGCCTGCAGGTGGCATCCCCTGCCGCCGCCCACAGCCCGCGGACCCCGTGGAGCTGCTGCGCAGGAAACCTCGCGGGCCCCATGGTGAAGCCACCGCCCGCGATCCAGTCGATCCCAGCCGCGTTGAGTTTGGCCAGGTGCTTCATGAGAACGGCCGCCACGTGCTGGCTGTGCGCGTTCCACCCCAAATTGCTGTGGAAGCACGCAGCGATGCCGACGAAGCCGCCCGCCACTCCCCAGTGCACATGGGCGGCCACCAACCGCGCGGCCAGAAGCACGGGGCTCTCCAGAAAAGGCGGGCTGGTGACTGTGGTGTGCGAACGCGCCAGCACCGCCGCCTCGCCAGAGGTGCCTGCCTCGCCGCGGGGCCCCTGGACAGCTGGCGCCCAGAGCCCCGCGTGCCCGTGGCCCAGCACGGCCTGCTGCAAGGCGGCCAGCCTGTCGTGGTCCCTGGCGCGGTGCTCCTGGACCAGGAGGACCACGGCCTCTGCCCGCTCGCAGACGCCCTCGGCGCACCGCGCCAGGGACCCCCCCGCCGTCACGTTCGCCGTGAAGATGCTACCCTTCGCAATGGCGCCAAGCCACGTGCTGAGGAACAGCGAGATCCTAGCAAGGCTGGAAGCCCCCGCTGGCCAGCGCAGTGCAGCGGGCGCGCACGGCTGACTCCTCGCCGCCTTCGAGCCCCGGGCCATGCTTCCGCAGCCGCTGCTGGAGCTGTTCCACCGACTCCTCCTCAGGCTGCCAGCGCGGCACGACGGCTGAGCCGCTGCCGCTTCCAGGCGCTGCTGCTTCGGGCGCTAGTTGGGACTGCCCGCCCCGCTCAGCGCCCGCATGCACCACTCCTGCGGTGTTGGCGAGGTCCTGGCTGGCGCTGGCCTGCTCCTCAGAGGGGGGCCCCTCGCGCCGCGCCCGCTTGGACATGCACAACTCCGCAATGCGCTCGCCCATCGCGCCTGCCATGCGCTTCTGCGCCTCCGCTGGCACTGGCTGCTCCTCGTTCGGGTGGGCCGAGAGCTGCTGCATCACGACGGCCTCCAGCTCGCCCACCGTGATGCCGAGCCCGCCGATGACGTCCTGCGCCGTGGCCTGGCCCGCAGGCCGCGGCGGTTGAGCCTGGGGCGCTTGCTGCTGCAGCTGCGCCACCTGCTGCTCCAGGAGGTAGGCATGCACCTTCTCCGCGCGCTCAACCTCCTCCACAGCCCGCCGCAAGGCCTCCTGCGCCTTCCGCTTGTTGCCCTCCGCCTCCTCCAGGCGCTCGGCGCACCTTGTTGGCGATGGCATGCGTCCGTGCGTGGGGCGGCTTGCCGGCGAAGCGCCGCGCCTTGGCCTTCTCCAGCCTGGCGCGCCGCTCCGCCCGCGGCGCCGCGGCCCAGTCCGCCGCCTGATCCTTGATGGCGCGCAGGCCCGACTCGCGCATGTGGATCTCGGCGAGCGCCGCCGCGTCGCCAGCACCAGCGCCCTCGCCGTCGTCGACCTCCACGGACTGCGCTCCGCCGAGCCGCCCGCCAGCGCTGGCAGGCCCGCCGGCCTCGAGCAGCTCCTTGAGGCCCGCCAGCTCGCGCTGCGCCTGGGCCAGCTGCGCCGAGAGCCGCGGCCCAGCCCGGGGAGGGGCCTTGCCGCTGCCGCCGCCAGGCGCCGCGCCCGACCTCGTCGTCGACTTGGCCGCCGCAGGGAGCGGGGCGTTCGCCCCGAAGCGCGTGGCCTTGGGCAGCCTGCAGCCCTGACACTCGAGCGCCCTCCGCATCGCCGACGCAGGGTCAAGAAAGGCCACTGCAGCGCGGGCGGCGCGAGGGACCAGCAGAGGACTCGCGCGGCCCTCTGGCCCGTGGGCGCCTTGGCCGAGATGGGGCCCCACTGGGGACTGGCGTGTCGGAGCGCTCGCCCCCGCTGTTCCGCCGGGCGAGCGGGGCGGCCGTCGAGAGCGAGGAGGCGCGGCATTTCTCGCGGGCGGCGGCGGCGGTGGCGAGCGGGCAGGCCGCCCGCGAGGGCGGGCGCCACTGCCTGGGCATCAGGCGCGCGACTTCGATGTGCCACGCGGTCGGCGACCTCCAGCGCTTTCGGAGTTCCGGGAGGTCTCGGACAGCTTCCACGCCCGCTCGCGGCCACCACGCGGTGGATTCAGGAATAGTTCATGGCGTCCATCTCTCAGCTCGACGTCCCACCCTTCCGCAAGCGCCCAATCTCACAGGGGGTAGCTCTGCGGGGCACTGGGAGGGTTGCGCCACGCTTGGCTGGCTCGCCGCGGCCACCTCGTTCGCCTGACCTGGTCGCGGTGACTGGAGGGACGCCTGTCACGCTCCCCCGCGCCCCTCCCTTGCAGGCCCCCCGGGAAGCTCCTTGTCTGTATCGGGCTGGTCGCCGCGTCGGTCCAGCCAGAGCGCGTCGCGCCTCCCCCCCCTCCCCCCCCCCCGCACGCATTGCGTCCCTGCGACCCCGGTCGCTTTCGCTGCCGCCGCTCCCGGCAGTCCTCTCCTGATTAACTTAGGAGAGGAAAAAACACACAGACACAATTAATCGTCCACTCCCAGGAAAATATGGGAAAATATGGGAAGTGGGGGGGAAGACAAAAACCCAGAAAATATTGGAAAAATATGGGGACTATTTTTATTTGTGTGTATTTATTTGTGTGTCCTAATTTCCCTTTATTAACCTCCTTCGTCGCGCCCCGGCTCTGCGCCTTTGCCGCCGGCGCTGTCTCCGCCTGCCTTCCCGGCGTGCCCTGGCCGGGCCCCGGCGGCCCGCTGGCCGCCGCGGCCAGCGGCGTGCCCCCCTGCCGTGGCCTTCGCCCGAGCAGTCGGGCTCGCGCCTGCCCTTCGCACGTCCTGCCGCCCCCCTCCGCTCGCCGTGGCCCCCTCTCGTCGGCTCGATGGTCTCCGCGGCGTCGTCATTGTCGGCCCCTCGCGGCCCACCACCGTTGCCCAGCGTCTTGGTGCGCCCTCGAGCGTTTCACTGCTGCTATCTCTGTCTCTCTCTTTCTCTCTCTCTCTCTCTCTCTCTCTCTCTTTGTTTCTCTCTCTCTCTCTCTCTCTCTCTTCTTCTCTCTTTCTCTCTCTCTCTCTCTCTTTCTCTCGCGCAGGTCGGCTTTCGCATTGGCAGCCTGCCCGCTCGCCCCCTCCTCCCAGTTGCCCCCCGGGGGACGCCAGCGCAGCGCGGTTCCGCATGGGTTGGCCTTGTGCTCTTTGTTGCGTGGGCCCCCCGCCGCTTCAGCAGCTGGTGGCACTCTTGCGCGCGTCTCCTACTGGCTTCGCCGCGTCGCTGAGCGCGTTGCCGCGACGCCAGAGAGGTTAGGTGGGTGTGTGCATGTGCCATGTGCGTGCGTGCGTGTGTGCGTATACTGCCCCGGGCTGCGCCAGGAGTGCGCACTGGTTGTCAAAAGGCGGTGGCCCGCGGGGCCGCCGTCGGCCGCTCCAGGGGTGCCCGATGGTTTTGGTGCCCCTCTGGCTCCCTGGCTGCGATTTCCCTTGGGCCGCAGTCGGCCGTTCCCTCCCGGTGCCCTCTGGTTGGTGCCCCGAGGGGTTCCCTGCCTATGTCAGGAGGGGGAAAGAAACACACAGACACAATTAATCGTCGATTCCCCAGAAAATATAGGAAAATATGGGCAGTGGGGGGGAAGACGAAAACTCAGAACATATGGGAAAATATGGGGAATATTTTCATTTGTGTGCATTTATTTGTGTGTTCCAGTTCCCCTTCACTATGGCTCCGCGTGGGCCACAGTCAGCCGCTCCGGCTTGCTGCCCGCTGCTTGCCGCACACGTCTTCCACCACTCTCTTCGCTGACAAGCGCAGGCGGAGCCCCGTGGCAAGCGTCGGGGAACGACACGACACGACGACGACGACGGGGACGACGACGACGACGACGACGACGACGACGACGACGACGACGACGACGACGGGGACGAGAGACGGCACGACAACGACGCAGGCGCGGTTCTCCACCACAGTGCTCGCCCATCGGGATTGGGGTCGACGCGCGCTGCCGGCATGTGTTGTGGCCTCCTATAGGGAGGCTCGTCGCCACGGTGAGACCTGCTTCGAGGTTTTGGTCGTACTGCGCTCCAGGACGGGTCCCCAGGCCAGGCGGGGTCCTCCTTTTCTGGCGAAGCCTCATCGAGAGGGTTGCCTGTGCAGAAGGCGCCGTGGATGTCCAGCATCTTCTGTGTGGGGGGGTAATCTTATTGAGGAGGTCCGAAAGGTGAAAGTTGGTTATTGTGTTTTTTGTTGCCGTAGCTCGGTACTCCTGTCAGGGTAGATCTGCCTTTCTCTGGAACGCCGTGCTCTCGCTGCCTCTATATCCGATCATGTGTCCAGCGTCTTGCTCCTGCTCTTGCCCTCGGCTCGATATATGCAGCCCCTGCTTGTGAATTGACGCGCCTGTGCCTTCTGCTTGTCGGCAGTGAGCACGGGGGGCACAGAGCAGCCCTTCAGGTTTCCCCGCGGCGACCGGCGGGCTCTGATTATCGTCGGCGGTTGTTCGCGGAGGGCTGCTGGTTCTTGGGCCGCCTGCCCCCAGGGATGCTGAAATACCGTGGGGTCCTTACAGACCGCCACCGCGCTGCCTTCAAAGACGCCGCCCCTTCCAGGTGATCGCGCGCTTCGCTTCGAGAAAATGAAGCCTTCATGCATGCATTGGTGCACTGGTGACCTGGAGGGCGTTGACGCAGGTTCCTCCCTGGTCCATGGCACCTGCGCTATCTTCCCCTGTCCCTCCGTCTCCCAGCCTTTGAAAGGTGGACACCGGGAGTCGCCAGCCACCAGTCGTTTCTGGCCCCCGATCCGCCCGCTGATGCTGTTGGCCTGCCGCGGCGAAGGTGCGCCTTGGCGGCGTTCCGCAGACGGCGAGGACAGGACCGCACACGACTCGCCTGCCTCACGGGCATGCACCGGCCGCTGCAGCCCGCGAGTGCCGAGGAGAACGTGGAAGGTCTGGCTGGCGCCGTGCAGGAAAGGCCCGGCCCGTGGGCGGGCAGGAAGTGGGCGCTGATTGCCCTCCTTGTGTGCCCCCAGTCATCATCCGCCTCCTCCTCCTCCTCCTCCGCCTCCTCTTCCTCCTCCGCCTCCTCATCCCTCCGTCTCCTTCTCCTCCTTCTCCTCCGCCTCATTCTTCTCCTCCTCCTCCTCCTCCTCCTCCTCCTCCTCCTCCTCCTGTGATGCTCGTGCAGACCTGGCCAGTGCACAGCGGCGAGACGCTGGTAGAGTTGATGAGTCTTCAGGTCCAGGCCAGGACGGGCGTATGGGCGTGGCCGCTTCCTGACTTTGGTGTTCGACCGAGGCGGCCGTTCGCAGTCGCAGCCGAAGGCGCCATCAGGCTACAGGGTGCAGCCATCTTGTGGGGCGGCAACGTTACTGCACGCCGTGGCCACCTTTGTGGCAACTTCTGAGTGGGCCAGCGATGAGACCGCGTAGCTGTCTGCAGAGTTTTGAGGGCGCCCGCCTTCACCACGCCAAGGGAAAGGGTTCCACGATTCCTGGTATAATTTGTCTGGTGACTGGCTGAACTTTGCCAACGAGATCGTCGACTTCTGAGGGCCGCGGCTCCAGCACAGCGCCCCTCGCGGGTCGGGCGCCGGCCGGACTGTGTTCTCGTCTCGTCTCGTCTCGCCGCCTTCGCCGCCTCGGATGCGAAGCCTGCGGGTCCCCGATAATTTGCCGAGCGGACAGCGGACGAGGATAGGGAGATCATTGCTGAGGCTCGCCAGACCGACTTGGAGAAGTGGTAGTTTGGTGCACAGTCAACTTGCGACCGGACCAGCAGCGAGAGCGAGCCTGGCATGCAGGAGCCCGCGGGATTCTTGCAGGATGTTGTGCCAGCCGCGGGGAGTCGCACAAGCAGTCCCTCCACGATGGGGGGGGCCTGGCCGAGCTGAAGCCCAGCCACATCTTGGTACCAAGCCGTTTCGGCGTGCTTGCACCTGACCGTGGACGGTTCTCTGCCAGTTGACACTTCGCGCACGGTTGGCGGAGAGACCTTCGCCAGGCTCTATCCTGCAGAGGAGCGGTCCGTGCGCTGCGAGAATCCACTGGTCCAGCCTCGCTGCAGGAAGTACTGTGGCCATGCATGCGGCTGACAAGGTCAGGATGTCAGGACCACGATGGACCACGGGGGTTGTCCGCGGGCTGATCTTGACTGGATTTCGGGGTCAGGGGTTGATGGGCGGACCGTACACACAGCGGGCGTGCTGGTCTTCCCCCTTCAAATCGTCGACCTCATTGCTTCGTTCTCCCCCATTGATGCCTTCTTTCCCCTGCGCCCCCCTCTGCTATTCATGCTCCTCCACCTCCTCCCTTCCCCCCTCCTCCTCGACCCTCCTCCCTTGTCCTTCTCCCCTCCTCCCTGTCCCCCCTCCTCTTCTTCTCCCTACCCGCCCTCCCCCCATCCCTCTCCCTTCCCTCCGCGGCGGAGGGAGCGAGCGGCGCCCTGCCCCCGCGGGGCTCGGAGCTGCCCACCTCTCGCCGCCGCCGCCGCCGTCGCCGCCACGGCTGCCCCACTCGCGCCTGCCAGCGGGGACCCCTCGCGGAGCCGGGGGCGGTCGGCTGCCCCACCCGGATGGGGCACTCGGGGGCCCCTCTTGGACCCCTGCTGGCTCCAAATGACGAAGGAACAACACGCACTCATACCCATAGGGGGGTCGTTGGGAGGAGGACTGGCTATGGGTATGGGTGTGGGTTGTCGGACCCTGGGGAACGCTCCCGTTCGAGCGGGGACCCCCATCCGACAACACGTGCCCATGGCCCTCTCCGATCCCCCTATGGGTATGGGTGTGTGTTGTTGGTTCGTCACCAAAAGAGTCACCCCCCAGTACCACCCGCCCGAAAAAGCCGCGCTGCCTCCCCAGTCTGCATCGCTGCGGTGGTAGCTCTCCGTCGGTGGATGAAGTCGTGACCCCGGTCGGGATCCGGCCACCAGGGCAGGAAGTCCGAAGGGCCCC